TATTTGGCACAATAATGTAATGTAACGTGATTTAAGGGGGGTGAAGATTTTAGCTCATTTCTCCTTTTACAAATGACAATTTTCAAATGCAGGCTACACAACTTTGATGTATTTTTAACTGTTTCTGGCAGCCATTTATTTCCATTAATTTCTATGGTGTCACAATCAATAAGCAGACCAGACTCCTTGTTGTTACCTTGATGTTGCTTTGCGATGCAGTTTGTTATGTAATATTTGATTAATATTTCATTGCATTATGATGGAAACGGGGAAAACTAAAACCACAGTATGGTTTGCAAAAAGATCAGCTATGATGTAAAGTATCAGTGAGTGGACTATTATTATATAATAACACGCGTGGCATGGTATGGAACATTTTTCTTCTTACAATTATAGCCAGTGTACCTATTATCTAATTACATGGTGCAAAATGATGTCCTTTATATTCACGTTACTAATCCTTTGTCACAGTAAGTGCTGTGTAAGTTGAGCACTGATAATCCTCACATCACTGACAGTAGACCGAAGTTGGATAAGAAACTGCACACACACACACACACACACACACACACATGCACTCGCACAGAGAGATACAAGCTGAGGTTAAGAAAACATAGACAAGCATCAGTATTTTCCAGGGAGTCTCCATTATTTCTGGCTTGGGGTCTCTAATGGTATTTCATTGTAATTGCTATGATGTCAGAATGTCCGTCCGCCCTAATGGGCTTCTAAAAACAACAACAAGGACAGATTGGTTCCATTCACTGGTTGTTGTCCGGGCAGAGAGACACCAGAGTCCAGCAGCTCAAATCTCTGCAAGAACTTCAGCTGAAAAGGTGAGAAGTATTTTTTTTTTTTTTTAAATCTTGCTAATAATTCATTTTTAAGGGACTTTGAACTGTTTTAGGGACAAAAAGTGTGCATAATTGTATTAGCAGGCTGCTTTACACCACAGTTAGTGTAGTTTCATAGCCTATATGGAGCCATTGTACTCTCAGTGAACACAGTGTGTGTGTGAGAGTGGTCTCAGTTATAAAAGTATTCCACATCATTCTGTTCATGCAGAAAGTATTTTTATTTCAGTGTTATATTTCTTAAAGAAGTGAAGCATTCTGCAGTCTGGCTGAGTTGAGATGACTCCAGTTGTTTCAGTACAGTTTAAGTGGTTTATTTGAAAATGTGCAGAGTAATTAAGCAGATGTCTCCAATAGCATTAAGGGAAAGGACTCTTGATCCTGAAAAGGAAAATAAAAACAGTGAAACTAAGCAACTACACTGTCAGATTTCTCAGTTAAAATGACAAATCTTGAAGTTTCATTTGTCAGCGGTTTGAAATAAATATATTTTTTACAGTGTATAGGTCACTGGTACCTTTGGCTGCAGTAGCCATAATGAACACTAGAGGGAGTTGTGAGTCATGCTGAATGTCAGTCTACTGCCCTGAAAGTCAGTGTTTTGTCAGCTTTTGGGGATCATCTTCCCCTATAGATGTAAAATAGTGGCAATACAACCTTTAGCCATTCATTATCTGTTCTATATAAGAGTCACTCATAATGTTGACATGACAAAAAAATTACATCTTTATTTTGAGGTGAACTGTATCCCACCCAGGTGCAGCAGGTCACTTAGGAAGCAGATATGTGGATATAGATACTTGAATAATGAAATGCTCTTTATTTTTCTCTACCTATCATTCCCAGCATGCATCTTTATACTCTGTCCCTCTCTGTCCTCCTCCTCCTGGTTGCCGGGACAGCTGTGGTGTGCGTTACCGTGACAACCTCACTTCAGGGTTTCCGAGGCTGTGCGGTGCGAGAGTTCTCCTTTGTGGCCCAGAAGCCCGGCTGCAAGGGACTGCGAATCACCACCGAGGCCTGCTGGGGGCGCTGTTACACCTGGGAGGTAACATTCATATACAAATACACACACACACACAGTAAAGTGACAGAACATCAATTGCATTTAGCCAACGTAGTGAGTCCCACTCTTTTCCATTGCTATTTCGGAGAGCTTCCATAAAACTGGTATTGTGAAACATCAAATAAATGATTGATGACCCAGGACTCAACCCAAACCACAAGAAGGCCGACGACCCATTCTCAGCTCTTACCCATATGCCATTGTCATAAGACATGCTCAGATCCCTCCAAGTTACTGAACCTTTACTGAACTCGTTCTAGTTTGCAGGGATTCTAATTTCAGCTCTAAGTAATTGAAAAACCAAGTTTAGGGTTAGAAATTCAAAGCCTGTAGAGCAGAAAGAGCTCTGAATCAGCAACAACAGAGCTGAGTCAGTCAAACTGGTAGGAGGTCAATTCGAAAAAATTTTAAACAAAATCTTAACTTAAAGGCCCAGTGTGTAACATTTAGGAAGATCTATTGAAAGAAATTGAATATAATATTCATTATATACAAACTTTTTTGCAAGGGCAGTTTTCAAATGCATCCACAGAGTTCCTTCCACAGAAGGCAGTGAGGTGTGGTTGAAAGCTCAGGGGAGAGCTAGGATGTAGACCTTGAGTTACAGACAAAATTATATGTCTGTATTTTAAGATTAACTTTTCACTTTAATAATAACAATAAAGGGGCCCCTAGTAGCTCATCAAGTAGAGCTGGTGTCCCATGTACTGAGGCTGAGTCCCTGCTGTAGCAGCCCTGGGTTCATATCCAACCTCTGGCTCTTTACTGTGTGTCACCCATGAACATCTTTTAAGTTAC